GTATGAAGCCAATAAACCAAGAAGATCAAGGATCAAGTTTACGAAAGGCAACGGGAATATCTTTGGATAAAATGTCGAGCAAAAAAACTACCTAAATTATAAAAAGAATTGTACGATATTTATAGAAATTTCTGGTCGTCACGTGGATTATTGATTATTTTTTCATCGTAAAATTTAAAATTTACCACAATTTTGACAAAATGTGTAGTTATTTTTATTTGCACAGTAAATGATACTAGATGTTAGTCCCGTACAAGAGGGGACAGTAGGTTTGGTTTAAACATATTTTATTCGTCACATAAGAACATATTTACATACATGACATTTACAATCAAAACAAAAAAAGTATTAGACTGGAAGCAACTTAATGTTTATTGAAGTCTTTATTCTTTGACGGTAGGTTTGCCTTTGATACGGCGTATGTCCACCTGCAAAAACTGGATCAGTAAAAAAAAATATTTTTTTGAAACTTCACTTCAGTGTTGTTATATTTTTCTGGTCCTTCGGTATCATTAAGTCCAGCACTTTTAGGTGTTGATAATTGAATACCGCTCAAACTGGTGCTATTGGGAGAGTGATGGATGTTGCATTTTTTCATTATCCCTCATGTACAGACTCAATAAAATCGAGTGTGCAATTTTCATGTAATTTGCCGTTTTTGATGCTTCCGAGGGATCACTTTTTTTCGAGATATTTCGATAGATGGCAATAAAGAGATAATGTCTATCATATCTTTTTGTATGTAGAGTTTGAGAAATGTGGTTGATATGATACAAATAGACTTAAATTTCGAAAATGAAATGGACACTACGGTTATTAAAAAAACACTTTGAATTATTATATGAAGCTTCAAAAATGCATATATAGCTGCACAACATGTAATTCTATTAATATTTTGAGATTTATATGTCATCAAATAGGTTTGTAAAATGAAATGAAATGAAAAGGAAATGGAAATGAAATGGAAATGAAATTGAAAAGAAATGAAATGAAAATAAAATAAAATAAAATAAAAATAAAATAAAATAAAAATAAAATAAAAATAAAATAAAATAAACTTGAAACTATGATAATGAAATAATAGTTTCATTAAACATGACACCTGGATAGATGACAATATGTAGAGCATGCACATGATTTTTAAGTTCGCTCGAGAGCCTATTTTGAAAATTCGGTTGCTTTGGCAACAAATATACTCGAAATCGATAATTCCAACAACAGGTCACTACATGTATATATGTAGATCTATACGTCTGCCAAAGAGAATGATTTGACACAATATGAAAAAGAGGTAGCCCTGAAAAGAGCTGTTATGTCAGCAGAAAGTCTGCCCATCAAGCCGTCAGTAGGGGCTCGAGCACACAATCACACTTCCCTCGTCGTCCCTGCCTTCTTTCCCCTCGGATTATATCAGGATATCGGAAGCTGGTCCACAGGATACAAGTTTTGGTTATTTATTTCACTGTCGTAAGTTCTTCAAATCTTCTGCCATGCTTAATGAGGGTCCATCCGCCCTTTCAGGACCCGGACATGGCATTGTCCACGTCCTTTAAAGTTATTAAACAGTAATTCACTGAAGGATACCAGTTGATTTTTGTGATGTGCCCTATTTTGATGCACGTGGGGCCAATGAGACCATTATATGCATCATGGAGAAAAACAAGGTATTGCTGCCAAAGTAAATAATCATATCTTTCGTACGAGCTTGGCTGACAGATACGGTTTGCAACTCGGACTGGTACCTGACACACATGTATTCCGTATGAATAGCCGATTGCACGAGCATTCTTTCCAGTTTTTCCGAGACAACATTTAGAATGAAATTTAAGCAATAAAATGTGGTCCCTTTTTCAAATTTTATTTTCAAACCGATGAAATACAAATGACATTAATTCCATGACGTGTTTTATATAACCGTAGAGAAAGCTAACCAATAACTGCGCGCCACCAAGTATAGTCATATAAATTATGTTATATAAAGACAGGGCTGATAACGCTCGTATTGGTTTATCTGCCTGGACAATTATTAAGAATATCCCATTTAAATAAATGATACATCATAAATTTTATGGTGGCTGATTTGGTACGATTTTGTGCGTCTAGTTGGCGCTAGCGACAACACGACAAAACGCCAAACAGCGCGTTGTCGGACTTTCATCTTGTCGTCCTGTCGCTAGCGACAAAAAACACGACAAAGCGCCAAACGGCGCGTTGTCGCGCTGTCGTCCTGTCTCTAGTGCGGCACGCCAAACGGCGCGTTGTCGTGCGGCGCGTTTTCACGATGTCGCCCTGTCGCTTGGCTTATAAGCCAATCCTTCAATTTGAACCGAGCGACAATGTGGCATTGCGACAACACTGCTCCAGATCCATAATCCAAACACTATTGAACACATGTTTGATAGTTCTAAAGATTTGTTTTAAAGATACTGATTACTGAGGCATAATATGTCTTTAAATTTTAATTGCACATTGAATACGGGCACTTTCAAAGTACAGCAATTCTCAGCATATTAAATTGGTAATATATTTCCAAAGATTGACTATTATTATGGTGAATGACCAATAATGTTTATGAAACAATATAAAAGCGTCCTAAATTTTAGAAAGGCAACCCCACTCTTGTTTAAGAATTGAACATTACCGATTTATTACGAACGATATTTATTGAAACGCGGAAAATGGATTTTTTTTCCATAGAAAATATAATTGAACATAAATGAGTATATGTCAATTAAGCATGAATTCAAAATATGTAAAATTGATTTTCACCGCGCTCAAAATTATTAAGATAGGTCTGTAATCGAATTTAAGTCCTCTAATTTAATTTGTAGCGCGCTATAAAACAATTATAAAGGTCATCAAATACATGTTAATTGAGCAAAATTCTACTGAAATTTTATACATATGCTGTCTTACAGCTGCGCTCCTTTCTTGAAATAAAAATACAGTTAGTTACTATTAAAGGCCCGTTATGCCAATTACCTGAACCATCTTTTTCTTCTGTTGAATTTTGCTATTAGTACATTATATTATATAATGACATAATATTTTGCATGGAAGCCAAAATACTATTTTGTTTACATTTTGCTACTTTTATGAAAATTTTCTCATATATAGAGGTAACAAGTATCTAACACGCTCTAGAACCGCTATATAATATGAAATTCATATTTGCCCTTTCTGTCGTTTCTGGTGCATATATATAGCGTGCCTTTAAATTATAGCAAATTGTATGTTTCAACCTTCGCTGGAGCTGGAACATACGATACGTTATAGTACATCCCAGGCTGGAGTTAGAAAAAAACAAGAGCACAGCATTTTAACTCTCGTCTTTTTAAGGTTTCCATTAAAAATGACATTAATTTTTTTTTTTTAAGTTATTTAAAAAGGGACGTAGTTAAAAAAGGACATAACTCCTAAATTAATGCTTTCACGGATAATGCCCATTGTCTTACAACATTCCAAGTACCATATTTTATGATGATGATAATTTTCATAAATAAAAAAAAAAATTAAAAAGGAACATAACTCTTTAAAAATACAGTTTTGAGACAAGTCAACGGTTCTTTGTCATAATAAATAAGTATTTTAAGATTCGTGCTGGTAATTTTTAGTTTTAAGGCAAATTTGACACATATTCTATATATAAGCTTAAAAAGGGACAATACTCCAAAAATAGTCTTTGAACTCAACAGATTCTGCTCAGTCTGTATTTTTTTTATGACAAAAAAAGTCAAAAAGTAAATGAAAACCCTGTGTTAATGAAAATATTACAAATAAAACTTTGTTTAATTTACTGTAATTTAAACGTCGCTGGTTTTAAGTAGCCTTTAAGCACAGCTAGAGTGTGCACAGTACTGGTCGGGGACCACTAAAACCGGACAACCACCAAACCCGGACGGCCCCGAAAATGCTTTAATTTAATATTTTCTTTGTCCAGTGGTTGCCAGTCACTTTTTATCAACAAAAAACGCATGATTCTTCTAAAATTAAGTAAATAAATTTATTTAATCCTCCGTAAAAGGTATTATTTTAACGTCTATTTCAAGAATGTTGACCTTGAAATTTGGGGGTCATGAAAGAAAGGCCTGACCTCATGTACCAGCTATAATCATTTGCAGAGTGAATAATAGAATATCCAAAACTTCAGCATTTGTTGCTGAAATATTGTATGTAATGTTAAAAATCAAAAATCAAAACACCCAATCTGAATTAAATCACGTCATGTACATATCTGTCCGGACACATGGTACTGTAGTGCAGACAATTCAGGTAATTTGATACCCTCCTTGTTGAGCCTCTGATATTTTTGTCAATACAATCAGAAATAAACAAAATTGTTTGTTAGTTAGGAGAAGAACCTAGCTGAACTGTGTCAAATTTTTCGGTCTCTAGGTGAGAAATTATGAAATCTGTATGAAAAAATGTTCCATAAGTGTCCGGTTGATGGTCTCCGACCAGTACATGTAAACTGAGCCACGCAACGCCTCCCTCCTTTTAAACATATGACATATGCTACGCCGCTGCCAATAAAGCATTTACTTAATCCTTCTGGATTTATTCTACAATGAATCTTTTCTCTGTCTAATCATACATCAATGAGCTGCTTTCGTAAAAGGGCCATATAAAGGACCTATTCGCCTCCTTTACTGGGCGTGTCTCATGGCCCATTTCACCCTTCGCTAATTATCGGCGTGACCTTCCAAAATTAGAACAACCCACACTATCATCTAACGCTGCATACATTGTTTGCCAGGCCGCATGTCAATCATGCGTAACTACGCCACACCAGCCGCATTACAACTGAACAGGTGCTTTGTGTACATTACAAGAAAATAGTTCGATATCAAATATTTCTCCCTGTCCAATAATGATTTTCATTTTATATAGTCGAAGCTTTTGTAAAACTTTACGATCAATTTGAAGTTATATTTCGTCGAAGTTTCATGTACCAAGGTTTACGGACATATAAAATGTATCTGCCCTTGAATTCAATTGATTAGAAGGGGAGGGCATGACGTCAAACTAAGGCGAGGTCAACAAGAAAGAAACAAAAATGTCGGAACACTAATTTAAATATTCAGCAAATATTTGGAATATTTAAGATTAAAGATTGAATTTATTTATTTTAAATCATAAGGAAATTATTTGAGAAAATATGCCTAACGAGTCTGCTGGACAGGTATGTATAATTTAGAATAATCTTTGTATTTTCGAAAAGAAATTTCCGAGCGAGACGAAGAAGGCAGGCTATTTTTAGAAGCAGACCGCCGCCTGCGATTATAACCCCGCCTTGTAATTTATAAAATATCGAGCATATGGATTTCATCGTTTATGTTTTTGTTTTAGGATGTTCAACAAAGTCCTTTGGCATTACTGGCCCAAACGTGCAGTAAAATAGGAAACGAAGATGGCAGTGGTCAACAAAATGTTCAAGGTGTCAGAGTTCAAGTCGCAGGTCAGGCAGGAGAAGTTATCGCCCCTTCGTGGGTACAGCTTCCTACAATGGTAGACCCAACTAAACAAAACCAAATGCAAGGAGCTATTTCCTTAGCTGGTGGACAGGTAATGAAGACATAAGTTCAGTTATTATTTTAATTTAGAGCTATTATTAAAATTGCAACATTAAATATTTTTGATTTCTGCCAGTTTTATGTTACTTAAGATATCGTAATTTTTCGTATAGTAGTTAGCAGGGCGGAGCAAGTTGGAAAGATGGAGTGGGGGTGTGTTTGTTGATTTTTTTTTTTAATTTATGGAGACAAGTGAAAAGTTTAAATTCGTGGTTAGTAAGGAAACATGGCATCAGTGTCCTCAACTCTGCTGAAATGTTTTTTAAAGTAAATGACCACCTTAACATATAAATGAGAACACACTTGAGATCAAATGCACTGGTTTATTACTTTTCCGCTTTTAAGAAGATTTTATAAATTAACATGGACCACCATACTATGATAGCACAGTGTTCTTATAATGTTGTGGATAGTAAGTTTTATCCCCAAGGAAAGATATTCAATTTCAAGCCCAATGCAGTGGAAGTATCGAAATATAGCTGTCTTTCAGACTACTTTTTTTCTTTGGCTCAAAATGTTAATAATGAGAGTAAAAGTTTAGAACTGCTCACATTCATTTCAAGGGAAGATGTTTTAATAGCTGCTGAATTATAATCTCAGTCGATAAAGCATCAAAGCGGTATTCTGAGGGTCCCAGGTGTGCAACACATTTTCACACCCTGGCACAGATAAATGTACTTGGAAGATATGTAACTACACACGCCTCTGCCTATCTGATAGCATTATCGTTTTATTGGTCCTCTTTATTTAATAGCTTTGATTTTTTTTGGGCCAAACATTTAATTATATACCTTATATACATGTACCTTCCCCCTATCTATTTACAGGAAGGCACATTCATTTTAACAAAGTTATTAAAAAAAAAAGAAATTTATTTTATGGGGATGAGACAAAGGTGAATTATAGGTATAATTGTCTTACAGATTTTTGTATACTGTATTCATTAAACGTAAAATTGCATGCACAGTCATTGATTTATATATTTCAATTCAAATTTTGCTTATTACAACAACAAAAAAAACAACAGAAATATGTGACAGATGGTCGTGTTAGATTATTTACTATAATAAAGCCTTCAAGTTTTTTGCCGTATTGATTTCATCAAGGTTTCAAGTGTATAAAATATGATGCAAAACTGTTGATACCAACTTTATATAAGGTAGTCCTTGTGGTTGCAGTATAATAAAGTAAATCTCCAAGACTGTTTGAGCTTGCTTTATGGCAGTGAACATGGTCTTTTAGGTGTAAGTGGTAGACAATCATATTGGTTTGTGTCCCCCCCTCCCCCATGATGGCAAGGTGTCTGATACCATTTGGCCACTACAGCTGTTTCAATGGATTTACTTGGTTTTTGCAAAAGTCGGACGTTTCTTGCAAAAACAAGTCAGTATTGTTGCAGTGTCTAGGAAAAAATGTAATAGTTATTATTATACATGTATATTAACATATAACTGAAATGCTGTTAAAAAAACAAAACTTAAGTAAACCCAACAATAGATATGTATATATATATTTTTGTACATATATTGCAGATTTTGCAGCAAGCACAAGGGGGTCTTCAGATAGTCGCACAGCAAGGTCCTAATGGTCAGATTACCTACAATGCTGTACCACAATTTCAGACAGTGAGTATGGATGGACAGGGGGGTCAAGATTCAACCACTCAAACTAATCTGGCACAGCAACAGCAACAAGCTTTTCAGACCATACCAATAATGACACCGTCCGGGCAGATTATTCGAGCCCAAGTGCCAACTGCTTCAGCAATGCCTGCAAACATGGCTTTCGCAAATATGGGTGGAGGAGGTATGGTCAATCTTGGCGGTAACGTTTTGAACTTGAGTAACCTAGGAAATGTGCAGGCAATAGGGGCAGTTCGGCCTGGTGGAATAATTCAGCCATTACAGCTGCAGTCTAATACCTTCCCACAAATCCAGCAGTTCCCGAACTTTGTGCAAGTTCCGGTGTCGGCAAACGGGCAGACAACATTCATGCCGGTGCAGATGCAGCAGTTTCAACAGCTGCAAGACTTGACGCAGGCTACAGCCAATGCCAGCTCCGCTCAGACAGTGACGTCTGCCAGTGTTCAGCAGGCAACACAAATGCCACAGCTTATTGAGGTAATGAATCAAAGTTCAACGCCAAAAACACCTGCGATGATCAAAAAGGAGGCTCAGACATCAAGTGCTACTTCAAACACGACACCCACAGCGACTTCTGGAACTGCTTCTTCCATGTCAATGTCCCAGTTACAAAATATGTCCATGCAGGGTCAGACAATAGCTGCTGCAGCGGCGGCTGCAAATATTATTCCACAAATGCAGTTTATTCCAGTTGGAAATGGAAGTTATATGCAGGCTGCGGTTTTTCCTTCACAGTCTAGTATAAGTAACGGTCAAAATATAATCACAGTTGCTTCAATGCCGCAGAATTCTAGTTCAGTGACAACAACAACAAATGCCACGACGACCATCTCATCTCCACAACAAACCAATTTATCAAATATAATAACTCCACAGATGATTCAAGGAATTTCTGGACAAAATTTTGGAAATATTCAAATAGCCAATCAAGGACAGGTTGTAGCTGCACCAAATCAAATAATTAATCTAGGTAATGTGAAGAATGGACAGTTTCCCTTGCAGGTTCAGAACATGCAAGGCATCCAACCTCTTCAGAACTTGCAAAGTTTTCAAAACATTCAAGGAATTCAAGGCATTCAAATGATAAATGGACAGCCTATTCAAGGGCAGATAATTGGGACACCATTGTCTGGAATTCAAGGTCTAGGTACATTGGCGTTAAACGCACAAGGTAATTTCACAACACTAGGACCTGTAGGGACTCAAGGGAGCCCTCAACAACTAACCTCAATAAATGTTTTGGGACAGCAGGGAATTCAAGGTGTTCAACAAATACAAAACCTCGCTGGCACACAAATTATAACAGGTCAGTAAGACAGTAACAGTATATAGATATCACATCCCAGGGCGACAGAACAAATGTTACTCTGAATGAATCAATAATCAAGATGAGATATCTCAAACATGATATCTAACTGAAATGTATGCTTATGTTTTACAATTTCTTGTCAAGTTGATTTTTTACCTTCTGTTTAATGCTTCTAGTGATCTAAGGATTGTTGGCCGGGTGGATTCGAACCCAGCCAGGCACAAGCCATTGTTTCGTTGATATTTTGCACTTATTGCTTAGTACTGGTTGGTTCCAGGAACGGATTCAAGAGTGTTTCAATAAGCTTATAGCTTCCAGTAAATCAAACTAAAATAAATTCATATAAAACTAAACTAATCCCACATTATTTCTTAATCAATTAGCAGTGAGAGACAAATGGCCAATTAGTTTCAATATCCGAGATCCAAGATAACATATATAACACATTGTTAATAGTTGTAATATTTTCATTTTACAGCACAAGGTCAACAAATACCAATCCAACAAGATCCCAACGACCCTTCTAAATGGCAGGTGGTTGCTACGGGAGCTTCACAGACGGCCACGCCCCTCAACATTCCAAACCTCATGTCCCCTATATCACAAGTGTCAAATGACACGCCTGCATCGGGTAAACGTTTACGACGTGTTGCATGTACATGTCCAAACTGTCAGAATAATGAAAACAAGTAAGTTATAGATATTTGTGTTATTACAATTTGCTTAACACTTCTTCAAGCTTGTGAAGAATATGAAATGATTTCATTTTTGTTATAAACAAGGTATTATTGCATAAAACATTGAAAGTAAGATCATATTGCCAGGGTTTTCACTTGGATTTTCAAGATGGGAGTCCTAGGATTCCCAAGCCAGAAAAACAAGGAGTCCCAAATCACGTTTAAAATATGTTTAGCCATCTTTGCTGCAGTTGTACAGTTAGTGAAATAGACAGAGTAAAATAAGCAGAGTGAAGGGGGTGGGTGTCAAAAGTTTAAACATAGAAAAAGGAAATTGGTACCGTAGTATGTCCCAAATTGGAAACCTTTTTATGCCCCCACAAAGTGGGAGCATATAGCGTTGCACTTGTCCGTCCATCCGTACGTCCTGAAATCTTGTGAACGCAACTCCTCTTAAACCAGATGGCAGATTTTGCCTAAACTTTCAGGGATGAACAACCTTAATGTGTAGATGGTAGTAAAGGAAGGAATTTTCGCTGCGACCAAATTTAACAGAATTATGGCCCTTTGTTGATTTTTTCACTATATACTATGAAGAAATTTTGTGAAAGCAACTCCTCTTAAACCAGATGGCAGATTTTGCTTAAACTTCCAGGGATGAACAACCTTAATGTGTAGATGGTAGTTAAGGAAGGAATTTTTGCTGCGACCAAATTTAACAGACTTTTGGCCCTTTGTTGATTTTTTCACTATATACCATATAGAAATTTTGTGAACGTAACTCCTCTTAATCCGGATGGCAGATTTTGCTTAAACTTCCAGGCATGAACAACCTTAACAGAATTATGGCCCTTAGTTGATTTTTTCACTATATACCATATATATGTTGTCAGTGGGGGCATCCGTGTCGTTTGGACACAGTTCTAGTTTTAACAATATAGATATATAATAATGACAATTCATGCACAAAATGATTTTCTATTAACAGAATAATAATTCACCACAATTTAAACATATTTTTTATGTTTTTTTTTTTTTTTTTTTTAATTATTTAGTTGGTGAAATGTTTATGATCTTCTCTTGCAGAGATAATAAAAAGAAGGTTCACATTTGTCACATGGAGGGTTGTAATAAAGTATATGGTAAAACATCGCACTTACGGGCACATCTAAGGTAGGATAGCAAAAATTTTCCTGAATAAATATCTTATTTCAGAGCTTGATTTTTTTAAACTTGTATTCTTTCTAATTGCTGTTGGATAATGAAATAGTGAGTAGTCTTAAAAAAATGAGATGTCACAAGTACAATGTTTCTGATTTTTTTTTTTTTTTTTGATTGGATTTTAAGTGACAATGGCACTATAACTACAGCGACATTCAGAATGTCCTGATGGAGGAAGACCTCAGTTACTTCCCCTGTACATTATTTCAAGAAAAACCTCATATTCTATTCTGTTGTGTGACACTGAATTTTCATCTTGATATGCTCCCCTGAATTGATAATGAACTGCTCCAAAACATAATTCACCAGATACAGGTTAAAAAGTTCTGATTTTCTGTGATATTCGACAATTTTAAATTAAAGGCCCATTATGCCTCATAATAATTTTTAATTTTATAAAAATAATATATTTTTGGTGTCCTTCCAAAAATTACTCATCGGCCAATTAACCCAACCGTCTTTTGCTTCTGTTTAGTACCATTAATAGTGGTTTATTATTTTGTATGAAAGCCAAAATACTTTATTTTCATAACAAATAATATCACATTCAGTGCTACTATCTTCAGGTTTTAAGCATGTGGAATATATATACATGTAGCAGTATATTTAAAGGACAACAAATCAGCATACTTTGTATAAACTGAGTAGAAATATTGTGAATAATGATTTATTTTTGATAAATTAGTCTTTGTTTATTAACAATTATAATGTTCAGTTGTTTTGTCAATGTTCAAGTTTTTTCCAGGGTGACAGAGTATTATAATACGCAAAATATCATAGATTTTTAACAATTATGGGGTTTCCGTGGGTGAATGGTTATTGTCATTGACTTCAAACCACTTGCTGTGGGTACAAATCCTGACAAGGATTTTTTTCATGTGAGGAAGCTACCCAGCTAGCTTACGGAACTTAGGCGGTTCTACTCCTGTGCCTGAAATAATGTCGTCCTCCACCAGTAAAGCTGGAACATCGCCATGTGACCTATACTGTGTCAGTGTGACATTAAACCCAATCAAACAAACAGAAAATCAATTATAATTGTTCTATTTTAACAGGTGGCACACGGGTGAGAGACCATTTGTATGTAACTGGATGTTTTGTGGTAAACGTTTTACAAGATCTGATGAATTACAGAGACATAAAAGGACACATACAGGTATAAACATGTTAAGGACGTTTTCAGGAATTTTCATATAGACATATCGCCTATATGACTGAAATACTGTTGGGAAAAGGCGTAAAATGAAACAAACAAAATATAGACATATAGGCAAAATTAAAACTGTTCTATAGAATTTCTTTAAACTTGGCATGTTGTTAGAATATGAAACAGAAACATTTGAAGCGAAAAAAAAATTGGGGCCACCGTCCTCATTTTTGAGTTACCTGTCCCTGAATCAGAATTTTCTACTTATTTGAGGTCATTTAAAGGGCAGATAACTTATACATACGTTAATGAATACTTATTTTTACTTCTGGATAATGTTTTTTTTTTTATTGTTGAATACAATACATAATTACATGCAGTTCCTTATATCATTTCTGTTAATTTTTTTCAATGAAAATAAAGGTACTTTAAATTCATAAAGAATAGGCCAATTTTTAAGAAAAAATATACAGGTAGTCGTTAAGAGAAGCAATGGGGAAAAAAACACTATCCACTCTAAATTTGTTCTTGAAATTTTGCATATTGACTAAGGCAAAGGTAAGCTGCATGAAAATAAGAAGAAAAAATTTGAAAAGCATTCATTGTTTGAAAATGATGACTTGGGCTTAGGTGTGATAAAACTTTTTTTTCTGAATTTTCATTGGTCAGTGTTAACAAAGAGACCTAGAGACCTATGTTAGATGGTGATAATGTCGGAACATTATTTTTTAGTGGCTTTAAATATTTATCTTGTTTTTGTTTTTTTTTTCAGGTGAGAAAAAGTTTGCATGTGAAGAGTGTGGTAAGAAATTTATGCGATCAGATCACTTGTCTAAACATAAACGCACACACAACAAGAAAATGTTAGACTCTGACGGTCATATAGTTGGCGATGAAGCTAAATTCACAGTGGAAGAAGATGATGATATGGTACATATTAGTATTGAAGGAATGCCATCAGCTGCTCTAGAATTTGCTGGAGATGATAATGATGATGAAGATGATGATGAGGAATCTGAAAGACAAGAACTTACTCTGGAATTAGCCAATCAGAAGATGGATTCAAACTGATTGTTTTAAAACAGCTGTTCTCATTGGTTAAAAATATAGGGGTGTGTTAGAATCAAACAGATTGTTTTAAAACAAGTGTTGTCATTGGTTAAAATTAACGGCATACATTTGAATCAATCTAATAAGTTTGTAACAGCTGCCCTCATTGGTTGAAATTATAAGGACTGAGTTTTGGGAGTATCTAACTAAAAAGCTAGGGACAGAATTTAACAGCAATATAGACTTTCAAGACTTTTGATTTGTTTTTGAATGATAAATGTTGCTGTTTGAAGAATTTCTGGAAAAAAGATGATCATGAATTAAGGAAGAATGTGATTGGTAGGAGAAAGCATCACATGCTTGATGGGTTGAAACATTTTACTCTCTACATACATAATGTAATATGTAAATGAGAAAAGAATCAGGAGGCAAGGTTAAAGATGATTGGTTTAAAGTATCTTGTGTGTTAGGACAGCAGACCAATCAGAAATCATTTTATGTATTTGAAATTGATCGTGAACATGACATTAATAGAAAGTGCAATAAATTGTGTTTTACTTACAATACAATCTTGATCTATCTAATTTATACCATTTAACTATTTGTTCTGAATATGTGTTTATGTCAGATTTTAATTAGTTTTAAATTGTTAGCAGAAATGCAATTTTTCATGTACAATGTTTTTTTTTAATTGAAGTTTAATGTCTAAAGGCTGAAGATATTTTATGTCAATTAATCAATAATTAAATTTGGAAGGGGTAAACTACAATTAACTTGAATGTATTGAAATTTGTGATTGATAATTCTAAAATACCTGGGCTTAGGTGTGATAAAACTTTTTTTTTTCTAAGATGTGTCACAGATCTCTGAATTTTCATTGGTCAGTGCACATTCTGTACTGGTAATTGGACCAATCAAATACCTGAGATCTGAGTTTGAGCTTAGAAAATTTCTTGGACCCTGATCTAATACTGAATATATTTGATATTCAATTAATGTCTCATTTTGTTTTATAAGTCAATAAGCTATAATTATAATTTGTCTAATCCAAGTTACTGATTCATAAGCCATATTTAGAGGTACCAATAAAACATTGTTAACTCTAAATTCTATTTCTTAAAAATTATTTCAGAGTTTTTGATGAACCGTCAGTTAAATGATATTAATTTACATGCAGTTTACAGGTTGTTTCTTACCTGTGTTGAGAGTTGGGGCTTGAACCCATAATCCTTACCTAAGGGTAGACATTTAAACCCGTAGACCTATGCTCTTCATATTGACTTCTTCATATGTATCATATATTAATGAATATTCAAATTGTTTTGATGCACAAATTTGCTTGAAAATGACCACATTCCTAGACTAATTATAAATTTTAATAGTGAATACATTTTGTTTTTCACACTTCAAAGTTTACCCTGGTGTGAAAAATTTCTGATTGCTATACTTCTGTGGTTTTCCGATTTCTTATAAAATTTGATCAAAATAACGTTACATGGACAAGAAATTTTGCATCGTTGCTACCCACGGTATATAGTACGTAACCCACCGTGTATATAGTACGTTACTCACGGTATATAGTAGGTTACCCACCGTGTATATAGTAGGTACATTCTACATTATCTAGATGATGCTGTATGTATGTAATATATACCGTGGGTAATCGATGATGGAAATCATGTATCCAGATTATAAATACTGAAGCCAGATAAATAACATTTTTAGCAAATCACTAAAATGTCAGATGATCCCTGCTTGAAAAAAAAATGATTGTGAACAATTAATGATTTGCCAGAATTTCAACATAATTCATAATGTTATTTTCTTTCTCATACATTATTTTGAACAAATAAAACTATCAATTCCTGACATCTGGAAAGATGGTTCCAGGCTTATATTGAACAGCATGAAAATAATGGGAGAAGTGGTCTAATGTTTCTTGTGTCTGTCTCTCTACCTAGGGGTCGCAGGGGTCACAACAATATGTCCTATTACGGCACTAGAAGTGGTTAGTTCCATGAAACTTACCTGAAAGTAGTTCAGATTAGCTAGAACAGCAATAATACAATTGAGCCACGTCATGACAAAACCAACATAATGCGTTTGCGACCAGCATGGATCCTGACCAGCCTGCGCTTCCGCGCAGTCTGATCAGGATCCATGCTGTTCGCTATCAGTTTCTCTATTTGTAATAGAGTTTGTAAGCGAACAGCATGGATCCTGATCGGATGCGCAGGTTGGTCTGGATTCATGCTGGTCGCAAACACATTACGTTGGTTTTGTTATGACGCGGCTCAATTCATTTAACCATGACTAAAGGCTTGAGTACATATTACATGTATTGTTATATGTTTGAAAAAAAAAAAATAAGACAAATAATTTGAAACTGATCTCTAATTGTTGAAAATAAAAAAAATAATAAAAAATGATAATTTAAACTCTATATATAGTCTGTTTTGATTTTAAGGCTTCATGAAAACTTGTGGTACGATGTATTGAGAATTTAGATATTGTTGAGTTGGCACCAGAAATCTTCCAGTTTCATGTGTAGTCTGCAGTACTTACATTATAGCTTTGTCCAGCTTTTATACTCGACTATTCGAAGAATTAGGAGAGCTATCCTAGTCCCCTGAGTGTCTGCGTAACCACTTATGTTAAAGCTTGCATACCACCCCAAATATTTTCAAAGTCCATTGACATATGGGTTTGAATCTTTGCACACTTGTTCATCTGTACACAGGAGAAGGTAACTATCAAGCATTTTGACAGAATTATGCCCCCTTTTCGACTTGGAATTTACGTTAAGGTTTGCATACTACCTCATGTATTTTCAGAGTCCATTGACATATTGCTTTGAAACTTTGCACACTTGTTCACCATTAGGACCCCAACCTGTACACATGAGGTAACTCTTTAAAGCATTTTGACAGATTTATGCCCCCTTTTTTTTTTACTTGAAATTTACGTTAAAGTTTGTGTACCACATCAGATAATCCATAGACATGACTTTGCACACGTGTTCACAATCTCAACCGTGTACAGCATGGGGTCACTGTATAGAGATTTTTTTACAATATTAAGCCCCTGAGAATAGGTGAGCATGCTGTCCTACTGACAGCTCTTGTTTTATTGTGAACAGTACATACAAATTTTAAGTGACACGATTTTCAGTAACAAAAAACAAAATAGGAATACCAACATTAAAGAGTCAGAACATACTGTATTATACTGGTAACAAAGTCCCTTATGGTTTATGTAGGGTAATGGAATGACAATGTCCAAAGTTTTACAGTTTTTGTTGTAAAAGTTGATTTGCACATGTTAAAGGCTGCGAGGTACATTTAGCCTCAGATGATTACCACATGAAGTAAATACTGTCTGGTGTGTTAATTACACAATTTGATATAAAGCAAAAAAGTTGTTAAAGTGGTTTTTTACTTCCAGACAAAATACTTGAAAAACTGCTATGCACAAACACTCAAATTGAACAGCATTATTGATTCAGCATTATGGCCGAGGTGTAGTTTTTGGAACCAAAAATCAAAAGCTTTAAAATTAATTGTTTGCATTTTTGAAGCTTGATTGGCCTTTAACTTAAAAAATGTGATGACTGCACTTTAAGTCTAATTGATAATATCATAAAACTTGTTTATAAAGAAGCTTTTCTATTTGAACCTGTATTATGAGGTTATTATGCATTGATGAGTGCAATACTGAACTATATCTATAATGGACATATACACAACTGTCAAATCGATATTGGAGGAGGCTCTAGTACATCATTGTCGGATACATTTATCTGTTATGTTGCATATAATAAACCTAGGTCACCGACGTTGTAGTACATGGGTTAAAGCAAATATTTACCGGCTGTCTTCGCAGGGCGGGGTTCAAAATTCTAAGAGACATGCCCCTGCTATTTCATAGGGTGTGGTCACAAATCACCATCTGTTTTGTAAGTTAAAAATGGTTTAGGGCCAAAGTATAAAACGTAGGTCCAACACAAAGAAAATAGTTCACCTTAATGCAATAACTAATTAACTCCTATTAAACATAGAATTAATCGAACGACTTATTCCGTTACTGCACTGAGGTAACGCTTTGATTTTGTCAGAAAATAAATACAACTTGAAAAATTGTTCCATCATTAATAGGATTTCTTAGCCATCTTCCTTTATTTTTATCCAGTGTGGATTTTCTTAGAACCACAATGGAGGAAATGGGAGTATACCTTTTTTTGTGTTATCCCTTGTGTTAGTGTGAATACCGTGGGGATTGTGCTTATGCCATTTTTTTTTCTGACATGTCGTTTCATTACAATATTTGTGCTAAAACAAATCTTATCAGTAAGGAGTCGTTTTACTGTATATTACTGTACGTTTAGAAATAACTTTGATTGGTTGATAGTTTCATAAAGTTAAATGTTCTATAGCTATATTATGTCAGGGTATGGCCTGGAGAAATAATGGGGAATATCCTTTAATAGCCTTGTTCTACGTACGTATCTACAATAATCTCTAATTAACATGCATACGTACGTATGTACGTACGTACGTACGTACGTACGTACAAAGTAACATACATTTAGTGTGGCAAAGAATTTGCAACGGACATTTATTCGTGAAATACATGTAGGATTTACATAGTCACTATAGTCATTCTAATTAAGGATCGAGTTTGAAATGTTTTGAAGTCTAAAATTTATTAGCTTAAATTATACAACCAGTCATAATTATATTTAACATAAATTGAACGAACATGACATACAATACAAGTCCACCATATTTATTATAAATAAACTTAATGAAAATTACACTTTAATGTCATATTTTTTAATTGTATGAAAATGTTATATGCTATATGCAATGCATTGTCAATAATGGACAAGTTTACTGCAATATATAATACATGGGGACAAATCTGCAAATCGGATACAAAAAAATAAATAAATGATTAAATAAAAATGAAATCAATCAAACAATAAATATAAAAAAAACATATATATAGAATTAAAGGGCTGGTTCTAAAGGTGCAATTACCGCATGGTCTAAGGGTTTGTATTTTAAAAATTGACTATAATCTGGCATCTGAACTTTAATAAGTTTTTATTATTGTTTTGTCTTATCTTCGGTCTTCAGCCGATGACAAGTTATATGAACCAACAATTAAACATTTACAAAATGTACGAAATGATGCATTATATATTTTGGCGTAATAGGCCTACGATTCCAGCTAACGTAAATTCATTATTGTAAACATAAATTTATTAATTAAACCGTAAGCTAAAGATTAAAAACTGCAGCTTAAAGGACTAAAAAAGTAATCTAGCTGCTTTTTAATACGTATATGGATCCGTTGTATACATGTTAAATATCATCTATGATTTTAGTATAAATGAAATAAAAAAGGTGACATTAAAAAAAATGAAGTATAATGTCATCAACGTAAAAAGTTTTGAAATATTTTCGATCATAGCAGATCAAGCCTACTTAAAAATTTTGGAACGTGACAGTTAGTAATTTTGACGTCATGTTTATTTACATTAAAGACACGTGTGACAAGTGCCCGTATCATTCCGCTAATGAATTTGCAATTGTGTCAAATCAATTCAATTATTTGCTTGCACATTAATTGTTTCTATATCTGTCACTCAAAGGAATTTTAAATACATTTAGTTATCAGTAAATGTTTGCGAACTGCATTTAAATTGTGCACTATATTTTTTCTCAGTCACGTGACTTGATATAAACATAGTACTTCGGTCAGATATCAACAGAAAAATGGCTACTTTGTGAAACAGAAACAAATTCTTTGACGCAGCGATTAATACAGCTATAACAGAAAAATGGCGAAGAATGTACTGATGTCAGTTTGTTACAATGGGGATGAGGAGTTTGTTGACATGCTTGAGATTTCATACAACACTGTCTGGACGGATTTAGAGGCCATGGTAAGTGGATTTCTGTGACAAAACAAAATTTTGATCAGCTGATATCACATAAATTTCAGTTCCTTTTTTTCATTGTCATTTAGTATACTAATTTGATTTTCTTTATTGTAAGTGAATTTCTTTGAAGGGCAACCCACTATTTTCTGAGATTCGATCTCTCACACATCGTCAAACAATCAAAATATTGATCAAAATTATCGTTAGTTGGTTTCAATAATATGATCAGAGTAATTAAAATGAACTATTTCAGCAGGGTCCTGCAGTATAAGATTTTGACTTGCATATTCATAATCATTTGTTATGTGATTGTAACACTGTACAGAAGGTAAGTAACACTGTAATGCCCTTGAACAATGTGTCTTAATTTATGTTTAAAAAACATATTGAACATGAAAGATGCTAGCACTAGTCAGACTGTATTATTATTAAACCAATAATAAAATCCGGTACAACTAGTTGATAAAACACTAGATCTAGCAGGTTTTAGACACTAGCAGGTTTTAGAAAATTTTCAAATTACACATTCTATGTCTAACAGTCTAGTTCATTTATTATTCTGAGGGTCACAAATTTGAGTAGGGCCTGCCACCAATTGGGCTGCATAGCTTTCTCACCCTATGACATTTGGCTCCCAGTCTGGGGCTGTGGCTGTAGTAAGCTCCAAGTTTATTCTGTCTCTGTTTCACTGAAGTTCAAGGATAAATTTTGAAATTTAGGCAGTGTGAGAGTAACACAGTCTAGAATTGTTCACTTGTGAGGGGAGAAAGTGTGTAAGCTGTCTGATAGCCCAGTTGGTCCAGTCTTCACATGTATAAAAATAAAATTGTTATTGATGCAATTATTATGAATCAGCATGTTTAGAAAAAATAAAAGGGGTCAAATGGTTATGGTTGTTGACCCCTTAGGGCTGTGTGTCTGAATCCCAACAAATAGGCCTACTTTGGATTCTTTTTTTTGAGAAAGCTATCCAGCTAGCTTACAGAATGTTGGTTGTTTTACTCATATGCCTGTTTATGCCTGGAATAATGCACAGAAGGGCGCCTGAAGGTTCCTTAGAAGGTTTTTTAGAAGAACAGATGTTTCCTTATGTTTCTAAAATAAAATACGTAGTAGCAAACCTAATAACATTATCCACTAGTAAAAGTTTATCATATTTTTTTTTAACCTTGTCAGTGTCATAAAAACACTTTAAATAGATACTTTTTATGTTTCATATTTTTACTTGTATTTCAGTTTAAGGCAAGACTTGACAGTGACAGGGTTAATGTCAGTTACATGGATGTGGACAATGACGAGGTATGCTGTAGTCTGTTAGATAAGATCATAATTATCAAGTTTGTATTTGATTTTCTGAGAACTTAGTCTTGGTAATAATCAATATAGTAGCAAATGTCTGTGACAATTTGTCCTTCTTGCTGAATATTTGATTTTATGCAAAAACATACAGTCACAGGTGAACATCACCTGTCAATACGTATGATGTTTGGATGATGTTTTTAAAGGTTTTGGGTTGTAGAGGGGGAACGTGGGTATAGTGTAAGTCATGGCCACGCAACGTTCACCTGTGCATATGGTACGGCGACTACTGATCAGCTTAAATGCTAAGTCAATATAGAACTATGTATTACATATTTATTCCCTGTTGTGTTTGGTGGGTGGGGGATGGACTTTGTATAAGTCCCCAGTTTTGACAGTATTTCAGTTAAAGTCTGGTCACATTATAAATACTCCTGCACTATGGACTTAATTGTACTAACATTTTCTTATCTTTAAGAAATATTTAAACTGTGGAATAGTTAAGGTCCATTAATCATATGACAAAAAAATCATTTTGTTCTATTGAGCAAGATGGCTGAGTTTATGCTAAACATTTTAAGACTTAAACAACATATGTCCGAGTGGTTTTCGGGACGGACCAGTAATCTTGTGTGGGTTAAAGTCCTATCAGGGAAGAGCCGTTGTTTCCTAGATTAGGAAACTTCACACTCATTACTCATTACAGTACTTGTTGGTTCCTGGAAAGAATTCCAGAGTATGTCTAGTTTAAACTTCCTACACAATCAAACTAAAAGTTAGTAAAATTAACCAACATCTCCTACAATTCAACTATTCACAATTTGATGAAACTTAATTGAAATGGCCAAATAATAAAATCTTTTTTTCATGTAAAATAAATCCTCATGAGAGCGATTAAGGGCCATTATGGTCATCTTGTTTATAAAACTTTAATATACATAATTTTTATTGTAAAAACGTGAGAAATTTTGAAGAAGTGGAAAGATGAAGTACAAAAAGTCTAGGTTGGACAGTTATCAAAATATATAATAAATAAATAATAAAAAAATATGAAAGAATTGATAGTTTTATTGACTTAAGATGAAGTAAAAAAAAAATCTAGGTTTTGACAGATATCAAAATTTAAAATCATATAAAATATGAAAGAATTGATAGTTTGGCTGACTTCCTTGTTGATTTGATCATCTTTACATTAACCAATGAAAGAGTATTATTGTAATAATGGTATAATGATACAAGTTGGCAATTATTCAACTGAAACTGATTGTAGTGTTGTAATGTAATACAAAATACAATATCAATGTTCCGGAACAATTTTAAGGTAGTCTTGTAAGAATGTGCTGCTGTGACAGGGATTTGTAACTTTGTGGTTGTTGCACTTAATACACAGAAAACTTCTTAGTAATTAATACATTGTATTTTATGAGGTTATTAAACTTTGTTGAGTACAATACTGAATTCTATTTGGCAAGTCCAATATAAGTTTAACTGATGTGAATATGTTCCACACCACCAATTCTTAAGGAGAACAGATCTTAGATTTAAAAAAAAACAACACAAAAACACCAAAGGTATTTTTTGTATCATATGAAAGATACAGTTACTTTGAGTGCAATATGGATTTGATATGTAACTTTTGGACTCAAGGAAATGAAAATGAGGCCAATTTGATTGGTTTACATAGGATCATGATGGTTCAGATAATGGCTTTCATTGGTTACATTTAATCATAGAGCTACATGTATATTTTAAATGGAGATACATCATGCACCCGGGCCCGGTGCCAAGAACTAGTTATCAGCCCGCCGAACATGTACAGGTGCACAAACTGAAACAATGACGTCATATTTTACGTCATCAAACAGTTAACTGTAAAAGTGAAAGTAGGTTTTCAGTACGAATCGCTTGATTTTATTATGAGACCTTAAGCGTATTTCGTACAAACACAGTTTTATTACTATTGAAATTTAAAGAAATAATACGACAAATTCATTCCGAAAAAAAATGAAAATAAAACTTGCGTCTAGATCCTACAGTAGTGTACTTTTAACACACAAACAGTTAACAACTCTGTAGAAGTTACTGAACTGTTAAGATAAGTCTACAGTAAAAATGCAGACAGGAATTTCAACGAAAAAAAATGTCAAAGACTTAGTATTTATTAATAGAAAAAAATGCTACTGTTGAATCTACCAAGTAAATTAAAGAGATTAATACACGGCAGAGTAGGGCAGGAAGGTGATAATCGGCCCGCAAAATGAATAATGGCCCCGAGGGCTTCAGCCCGATTATTGCCTTCCGGCCCTATAAGGAGTTGAATAAAATCATGTTATGCGAGCCTCTGGTGAACATATGGTAATATAGATTTATTCAACAAGTTCAATAAATTTAGTATTGAATATACATGAATAAAATAGTCTATTTTTTACATATCTAAAATAAGAACAGTTTACGGTTTTCAATTCCTTGCTTATAGTGTTACGCTATCTCAACTATGCTTTAAAATGCTCTTTTTATATAAAACGCAAATGATGTTGCATTAAAGGGTTATTACACAAGTGTAATAATTTACGTTTTTATACAATTCAGAGCCTTGGTAAAATGAAATAACTTAATACCGTAACCAATTTTAAACAATTTTGTTTTAACCTAAAATTTAAAATAAATGTATTTTTAAAATTGTGAATAATTAATGATATTAATATCAGTCTGTGTAATATAAATTATGGCAGAAATATTATGACTACTATATCAACATATTCATATTTTTAACGAGAACTTTCAAAGCTCGTATTATTTTGTAAATATTACACTGTTGGGAAAAGGCGTAAAATAAAAAAAACAAACAAAAACAAAACAAAAATATTACATATATATAAATGGGGAAGTTATATTGATTAATAAGTCTTTGTATCTTTATAGATATCGGTAACTGTTAGATAAAATGTTAGGAGATAAAACTAACATTTTTACTATAAACTTTTGGTATTCACCTATAAAGATAAGTTAGATAATTTGTATACTACATGAGTGATGTCATGTCACCATACTTTTAACACAGCCTTCAGCTTTTGTTAAGGTTAAATGAGCCGCATCACGACAAAACCAACGTAATGGGTTTGCGACCAGCATGGATCCAGACCAGCCTGCGCATCCGCGCAGTCTGATCAGGATCCATGCTTTTCGCTTACAGACCCTATGACAAGTAAAGAAACTAATAGCGAACAGCATGGATCCTGATCAGACTGCACGGATGCGCAGGCTGGTCTAGATCCATGCTGGTTGCAAACCCATTATGTTGGTTTTGTCATGACGCGGCTCAAATACATTATTTTTAGAAAAACCGTTTCATATACATGTACTTGTTATTGTCAAATTAAAAGAATTAAGGTGGAAAATGAAATTTGCCAATGATAAAATACATTACCAATAAAAAAAACCCTCTTGATACCTCTAATGGTTTGCTCTCTATATTTAAGTTAGTAAAGTGGACGATTTGTTTCCTGATCTTCAATTTTGTGAAACGAACATCTCGGAACACTGTTTTTTGAAGAAGGCTGAACAGAACTACAATGCATTTTCCAAGATTAAATTACTGAAATACTTAGTTTGAAACAACACAGAATTTAATTGTTTTTCCAACAGAAAATAAAAGCTGAAGACCACTCTAAAAAAGACTTTGATTGGTCGGTCAACTATTGACTACTTAATTCTAGTATCTCAAGATTGAAGAAAATAACAAGATGTATAAAGTTAAAACAATAAACAAGGTGACCAGTAAATCTGATAGATAAGTGTATAAGGTTCATTTTAATTACATGTACTAGTAATGAAAATTGCAACATGAAAAATACTTTCTGATTTTCAATATTTGTACATTTCTTTAACTTCTGATGTAATTTTCTTTATGTTTGTTTTTAATTGTTTTTTGATATAAAAACAAAAATTTGCTCATTCTAGATGCATGACATGTAGTTTAAACAATTACTCATACATGTGAACTTTTTTTGATGATCAAGTGGGAGATTTTCTTCAAAAAGAGGGAGATTTTAGAATTTGCAATAAACAAAGAAGGAAGTTCTGTCATCAAAAATAGGGAGATTTCTTTAATTTGTGAAAATACCCCTTGCTTTAAGAAAAATCTTAGAAAATATGTCTGCAGAAAGTGTGAGTCTCACACTTAAAGTGGGAGAGTTCACATGTATGATTACTATGAATTAGATGACACTCTGGACAAATATAGTGCCTGACAGTTAAGGTTGAGGTTTAAATTAAAAAGCTTTTATAAATTGATTCTATAGTTATTATAAGAATGTTTTTATGCCACCGCAGCATCTGCGATGCGGTGGCATATAGCGATTCACCTGTGTGTGTGTTTGTTTGTGTGTGTGTGTGTTATATAGGTTATATAGTGAACTTCAAAAATCTTCTTGTGAAAAACCACTTGTCCAATTTCAACCAAACTTGGCAGGATTGATCCTTGGGTGAAGGGCTTCCAAAGTTGTTCAAAGAATTTCATTCCATGCAGAAATCTGGTTGCCATGGCAACCAAAAGGGATTATAAGAATAAATTTAAAAAATCTTCTTGTAAAGACCCAAAAGGCCTAGAGCTTAGATATTTTGCATAAAGCATTGTCTGGTAGACCTCTACCAAGATTGTTCAAATTATAGCCCTGGGGTAAAAATCGGCCCCGCCCCGGGGGTCATTGATTTTCACTATATGTACATATAGTAAAAACATAAAATACCTTCATGTAAAGACCCAAAAGGCCTAGAGCTTAGATATTTTGCATAAGTCAGTGTCTGGTAGACCCTTACTAAGATTGTTCAAATGATAGCCCTGGGATCAAAATCGGCCCGGCCCGGGGGTCATTGATTTTCACTATATGTACATATAGTAAAAACTTAAAATACCTTCTTGTAAAGACCCAAAAGGCCTAGAGCTTAGATATTTTGCATAAGGCATTGTATGGTAGACCTCTACCCAGATTGTTCAAATTATAGCCCTGGGGTCAAAATCGGCCCCGCCCCGGGGGTCATTGGTTTTCCTTATATGTATATAGTAAAAACTTATAGTAAAAACTTTAAAAAAAATTTTCTAGCAATTGACGAATGCTAGAGGTTAGATATTTTGCATGAAACATTGTGTTGTGATATCAGCTGACCTAGATTTTGACAAAAGTGTCTAACTGTGTTGTCCTTTGATGTAGTCATGAAATTTAGGCTGTGTGAAATATGACCTTCACCACCAAATTCACCAGACTCAAGTGCATTGATATATTCCTACTCTGATCTTTTATTGGATTAACAATAGATTTAACCACTAATCTGATAATAAGAATTAGATAGGTCAGGGATCTATGCATTATGACAATCTTCAATTGCATAGAAACAAAAAAAAATCTGTTCCTACACTACTATTTAGTGTTGTATTTATGCGGTGGCATAGCATTTTTCTCAAATGCAATCTTGTTTATTTTATTTTTCACAGGTTTCTATTGGAAGTCAGGAGGAACTTTTTGAAGCATTTAGGGTAAATAATCTAACAACATTTTTATACCAAATAATTAAATTGTTGAAGGATTTTTGAATATTATCCTACTTTTCACATCTAACACTTAAAAAGTAAATGAAAAAAACAACAACAAAACAACAACTGTAACGGTGATTGGAAGAAAGGTAGAATTATTTACAGTAATCATATATTGCCATGTTATATACTTATTATAAATATGATACCTTACCTAAATGTGTGCCTACTTTATTTATAAGATCTTTATTCAGGATGGCGACCAGTCAAGTAAAAAAGTATACTGACAACTTGAGCTAACACTAATAATGTTTTTGCCTCATTACCACTTTGGTTCAAGAACTACTTTTTCCTGTGCATTAAGACTGAAGAACTACTTTTTTCATTATACTTAGATTGGACTAGGAACTATTTTTTTTTTCACCTAAGTCCATTGTTTTTTCCCCAATCTTGTTAATTATAATGAATGTTATAGATGGCAATGAAGGTGAAGAACATGTTACAAGTGAAAGTAATGCCTCTATCCCCTGAAACCCCAGTGTTTAGAATGCCAGACGTGGAGGATGAAGAGGAGGGACGTCCCCTCGAGGTACCGCAACAACAGGTCATAGACAGGGAAGATGGTAAGTCTTGTTTCTTGTTTTATTGTCACCTTGAAGTGACATTATACCCATCTAAGGTTTTATTTGTTTGATTGGTTTTTACCTCACACTGACACATAACAGGTCATATGGCAACGTTCCAGCTTTACTGGTGAAGGAAGACCTCAGGTGCCCTCCCTTGCATTGTTTCAGGCACAAACAGGCACCTGAGTAGAACCACAGACGTTCAGTAACCTAGCTGGAAAGCTTCATCGTCTGAAAGAATCCAATGTTCCTGTCAGGATTTTATAGCTTGTAAGCAGGTGAAAGTCAAAATAAGTTTACATTTAGCCATAATTCTTTTCAATTTTATAATTAACTTTGCATGAACGGTTAAATTAATATATTAACTCAAGTGGCTCTCGGAAATTTCGCAAATTCTGTAAATATCCATAGGAGTTTACCAATCCTTTATTGTTCAATTGATAGAAAAATAGTAGGACAGTCATTTTAGTTTATACAGCAGATTTATATTTTATCCTAGACATTGTCTCATTTCAACTGTTGGTCAATCACCATTATAACAATTGGTGTTTTGAAATATATAATTAAGCTCAATTTGGTACTTAAAATGTAAACATAATGTCACTCTATTAAGTCAAATTATTCCATCACCTTGTTCTTATTTTGAGATTAGAAAAATAAAATATGGCATAGATCTATGTGTTATTAAATTCTCAGTCTAAACCAGTTTGATTTTGTTGAACTGACTGGTTTGCCTTTTATGTATAAGATACAGGTTTTAGTGAAAATGCTCAAAATAGATTAACTGTTGTGAGTAATGGCTAGGCCTGCTTTAAGATGAGTGAGTACTGTAATATGTGGAATCTTGTTGTAAATGAAGCTAAGACTAAAGTAGTGGTTTTTAGTAAGTCAAAACCTAAGGATGACTTTGAT